GGCGAACCGCACAGCTGCTAGCGGCGCACGAGGGGACTGGAGGGCGGCCGGAAGAAGCGGTTCGCGAAGAGGGCGACACTGGCTACTCGGTCGCGTGGCCTTGATCCGATCCGTGTCCTGCGCGGCCTTGTGAGAGTCCCGTGTCTCAAGAGCCAGTCCTGTGTCCTTGCAAGCAGAATCTTGGGCGACCCAGCCACGTTCAGGCCAACTTCAGGCCTGAACGCGTTCAGGTCGCTTTTGAGGCCACTTGCACGGGGAAGGACAGCGCGGCGACTTGCAGGCGCTGCAGCGCGATGCCAGCAAGACATGCCGCTGCTCCGCCGCTGCTCGTTTCACTGCACCATATGGCCCCACCGCGCCTTCTATCCGTCTCCTCGCGCCCACGGCCACTGCTGCCTGAGCTCGAGCCCTAGGGGGCTGCGAGGCGCCTCCGAAGGAATCGCCGTGTGGCGGTCACGTGAAGCGACAGGCGTCGACGCATCCACGGACGGGCTGGGCCCCATCGCGTGGGCAGCAGCGTATCGCGGGCGGATGAGCGCATTCCGCTTTTAACTAACCCTGGGTGTGGGGACTCGAACGCGAGGCTCTCGCGCTGTCAGGCGTCACTATCGATGAGAGTCAGTTGCTCGGACGGACAGCGCATGACTTGTGCGCGGCGAGACGAGGTGACTGGTGATGACTCGTTGTGAGTGACTCACGCGGTGTTAGAGGGGTGTTTACTGTTCCCTTTGAACAGTACTCCCAACCCCATCCTTATCCTTATCTTTTCAGATTTCCTAGTGCCACGTGGCACTCTACCTTTCTTGCTTCTACTTTCTAGTCCCACGAATTACTTTCCGACATTCTACCTTGCATGCTATATCATCCTTGCTTCCACCAATATCAATCAATTCTCATTCAACTCTTTAATTACTCAGATACTTCGCCCATTTCACCAACACTCTCTTTCGCCAAAGTCTTCTGCCGCGTTTATCCTCGACTTAGTCGATGTCAGAATCCCAACCACTAGACCATTGGGATAAAATGGCTTGTTTCAGTAGCGGGTCAGTGCGCCCATAACCCCCTAAACGAACGCGCCTGTAACCCTCTCCAGGATCAATCGGGCATCCACAGTGCAGATCTACTGACACCCCCCCACACTGGGAGGCCCAGGACTAAGCACAGCGGCAACGGCCTACATGTGCATACACCAGGAATCAAACCCGAGAGCGCTCTGATACCATGTCAAAATGAACGAGAAATGAATGCAGTATGAAAGAGTTGGGTACAAGTACTAACCCTAATTGGGTTGTACCCCATATAGACTACCACACTACGGCCTACACAATAGCATAAGCTATAATGTTCTGACACACCCCCATAGGCAAAGTGAGGGAGTACAAGGGGTCACAAGACCAGTCAAGCAAAGCAAAACAAAGCAAGCTCAGGGTGGATCACAAAGTCACCACACATTCCGAGCACAAGGTCAAGGCCACAAGGCCAGTTCACATGGAGGAGTACATATATATATATATAAGGCTAGACAAGCAAGAGCAGGTGTATATATATATGTAACAGTACAAGCTGTTGGGCTGAAGTGCCCTAGGATCTTTGTAGAGTTTTAAGTCTGAGTAGAATTGTAGTAGCGGAAGCGTTTGAATGAAAGTACTTGAACCACCTTGCGCTAGTATGTGAGGGCAAAGTAAGTTAATTAAACAAGCAAATACAAAGGTTTATATAAGAGTACAAGGAATACGAATAGATAAGTTAAAACCGTTTTACTGTTGCGATTCGCTACAGTGCGACTCGGGCAACTGCTCAATGTCGAGTCAGTTGTGTGTCCTTGCTGTCGCGCTGTATTTGTCAAGTCAAAGGTCGCTGACCTTTGACCTTCTCGTAACCTCCAGGCGGTTACCCTAACCTCCGAGGGTTGACTCGCGATGCTTCGATTCGGACTGCTTCGCTAGTGTCCTGAGTTTCGACACAACAGAGGCGCTTAAGACTTATTATTCCCAACACTCCCCTTCGCTTCTGGAGTGTCGTTGATGGTGACGTGGCCTTGTCCGGTCAGCATCATGCAGTACTCGAACTTCTGTTTTCCGAGTTTCTTGGTCAAATAATCGGCTGCCATCTCGGACGTGGGACAGTAGGATAATTCGAGTTTCCCTTTCTCGACCTCGTCCTTCACGAAGAAGTATCGCAGAGCGATATGCTTCGTTCTGTTCGCGAATCCGCTTTTGTTGGCGATGCGAATTGCAGATTGGTTGTCGCAGAATAGGGTGAAGTTGGGTAACTCGGCTAACCTTGCTTCTTCCAGCAGCTCGCGAAGGTAGAGTCCTTCCTTGGTGGCTGAACAGAGGGCGATATATTCTGCTTCAGCTGAAGAGAGAGCGATTAGTTCCTGCTTACTCGACTGCCAGGAGATAGGTCCGATAGGCTCGAGACGATAGACGTAGCCAGTGCGAGAGCGCCTGTTATCAGAATCGCCGGCATGGTCAGCATCGACGTAGCCGATTAGTTTCGTCGTCGTAGCTTCGCCTTTGTAGTAAGTCAGGCCGATCGTCGGTGTGCTCACGAAGTAGTGTAGTGCGCGATCGAGCTCCGCCAGATGCTTTGCTTCGGATTTCTTGAGATAGGTGGCGAGTTGGCTTGCGGAGTAGGATAGATCCGGGCGACAGGTGACAGCTGCGAAAAGAAGGCAGCCCAGTTTCCTTTGGTAGTCTCGTATTCCGGCAGTTTTGAGTGGAGCGGAATTTCCCTTGTCGTTTCCTGCCGTGTAGCGGTATGGTGTGGCGATGGCGGTAGGTGTGAGTGAAAAACGTTTGGCGATGGTGTCGGCGTATTTCTCGGCGCTTAGGTAGATCGCATTTTCTTCTTCGCGGATGTTGAGCCCGAGGTACTGGGTCACGGTAGAAGAGACCGTGAGCGTGAGGTCTTTCTGCAGCTCCCCTTCGAACCAGGTGGTGACGTCGTCGGTGGAGCCGATGTAGAGCAAGTCGTCGACATAGACGATCAGTAGGATGTAGTCTGCGCCTTTGGTGAGGCGGTACATTCCTTGGTCGTGAGGCAGTTGGCGGAATCCGATGCGAGTGAGGCGGGTGTGTAGGTGCTGTTGCCACAGTCGCGGGGCTTGTTTGATTCCGTAGAGCAATTTCAGTAGTTGGCAGATCTGATTAGGATTTCCGTGAGTGCCGTGTGGGAGTTCGACGAAGATTTCGGCGTCGACGGGTGCGTAGAGGAATGCGTTGGCAACATCGATTTGTCGCAGCTTCTTCTTCTTCATGGCGGCGACGGCGAGAAGGATTCGGAGAGAGGTATGTCGACTGACTGGGGCGAATGTTTCGGTGAAGTCTCGTCCTTGCTCCTGGTCGAATCCACGCACGACCCAGCGTGCTTTGAACTTCTCAATTGTGCCGTCAGCTTTCGTCTTGATGCGGAAGACCCATTTCCCGGTGAGAATGGTCTTGTTCCGTGCCACGCTTGCGGGAACGACCTTCCAGGTGTTGCGTTCCTCTAATGCTTTTAATTCCCTGTCCATGGCTTCACGCCATTTCTCCCTGTGTTCCCCCCCCAGAGCCTGCTGAACCGTCGCAGGCTCTTTAGGAAGCGTGCTGTCTGTGTTCCCGTGGACTGCGGTGACGAGACCAAGGATTTGCAGCCCAGTCTGTGAGTATCGGGGGAGTGTTGTATCCTCTGGATAAGCTGCTTTGTCTCCTGCTTCTGGATCGGGTATGAAATTTGGCCCTATCCTTTCTGCTTCATTTGTGTTGACTGTCGCAGGTGTTACGTAACCGTTGTCGGCGAAGTGATAGAAGACTTCGGCGTTGTTACTGTCGCGAGGATTTTCTTCGTCCATGGGCACGTCGACGGAGCAGTACGGGAGAGGTCCGGCTTCTTCCGATGCGTTGTCGACGTTCTGTTCATCCCAGTCTGCTTCGTCCGCTGCTGAGGCGAAGGCTCGGTTACCACGAAAGCCACCTGTGAGGTCCCGATTCTCGTGCAAGTTGGCGAGGTACGTCTGAAGGGTGAGTCGCTCGTAGAAGATCACATCACGTGCTGCTACTGTTTCCTTTGTGTGGACGTCGAAGATTTTCCACGCGTTGTAATTTTTCTCGATGCCGAGGTGTAGTCCCCACTGTGCCCGTTGTGAAAATCTTCCCGCTCGTGCTTCTGGGGGTCTTTACTGTACCATGCATCCGAAAACTCGTAACATTCTTGTGCTGCCCAGCTTCCCTGTCCATAGCAGATGCAGTGAGGCGTTGTTCAGGAGTGACGACGACGACAACAAGTTGTGCAGCATGACAGCATGGTCCATTGCTGCAGGCCACTGGTGGTTGGGTAGCCGCATGCCACGTAGCAGTTTGCGCATGCTGTTCTGCAGAGTCCTGTTCATTCTTTCTGCTACTCCTTGCTGCTGATGTGCGTAGGGAAGGGAGAGGAGTTGCTTGATCCCTCTTTCCGCCAGGTACTGCTTGAAGCGCTGAGAGGTGTACTCTCCTCCTCCGTCTGACTGGAAGCTTTTCAGTTGTGTTCCTGATTCCCTCTCTGCTACCGGTAGCCAAGCGGCGAATGCTGCGAGTGCCATGTCGCGGCTGGGTAGGTTGCGATGCCAGACGTATCGAGTGGCGGCGTCGATGAAGGTGATCGTGTAATTGTAGGTGACTTGTCCTGGTTCTCGATTGTAGAGGATGTCGCTGTAAACTTTCTCGAGTGGTGCGTATGCAGGTGCGCTCGGGTTGTGGTGAGAGGAAAACGGTCGATGGGGTAAGTCGGCTTCGGGGCAGATGAGGCAAGTCCCTCGTGCACGTTGAAGTTCTCTGCCGTCGAGTAGTAGTAGCGAATCCTTGTCTAGAACTCCTAGCTCGTATCGTGTTGTTTAACACCGTATTGCTTGGATGTCCTGTGCGTGCGTGCCAGATGTCTTCAGGAGCGCGATGTCCGGGTGAGTGTTGATACGCGTCAGAGTTGGAGTAGAAGTTGGCGACGATGTTTGCGCTTCGGTGGACTTCTCGTTGAGTCGG